TAAAATCAGGAAAAAATAAAAACAATTTTGCAAAATTTCGAAATTTTTCTGGATATCTCCGGAAGTATTCGGAATATCCTGAATATCAAAGCGGCATTTTGTTGAGCATCAAAATGCGCAACTTTGCCATAATTTAACCGACCCTGTATCTCTTACGGTTTCCAAAATCCCAATGATGAGGCTCGAATTTGGGCCACCCTGTACTTACAGATTAACAGGATATACTACCAGGTACAGGTTCAAGAAAGTGAAAAAAAATATCTTAAATTGATAAATATGTAGATGAAAATATTACCTTTCATCTCGTAGAAAAAATAGTGTTCCTAACTCGTGCGGAAAGTATCTTTTCCGCACTTGATTGCTTGCCGAATTTCGCTGCGCGTCGGTCGATAAAATGCAATCGCGTGCGGAAAAGTGGTACTTTCCGCACTAGTTAGGAAATATACTATTTTAACTTAGAATAGAGTTTATTCAGTTATCCGAAAATATACATGTATAAATACATTTCTCCTGGAGTGATTTTTCACTGGAAAATTTTGAAATTTTCTTCTAATGAGCTCCTCACTTTCCTCTTTCTCCTGTAAAAATTTCAAAATTTTCCCTTTGCCAGTTTTCCAGAAAAAAATTAAAATGTAAGAGGGTGAATTTTCTTCAATTTTGCCTTAATAAGTCAATTTTCTTTGAGTTTTTCCAGGAATGATTTTTTGCTGGAAAATTTCGAAATTTCCCTGTAATAAGCTCCTCACTTTTCTCTTTTTCCTGGAAAATTTTCAAAATTTTCCCTTTGCCAGTTTTCAAGAAAAAAATTAAAATGTAAGAGGGTAAATTTTCCTTAACTTTGCTTAAATAAGTCAATTTTCCAGAATTTTTCCTCGAGTGACTTTTCATTAGAAAATTTTAAAAATGTACTTTAATGAACTCGCTTTCCTCTTTTTTCTGGAAAATTTTCACAATTTTCCTTTTGCCAGTTTTCTCGAAAAAATCTAAAAAGAAAGAAAATGAATTTTACTTAAAAAAGTCAATTTTCCAGTATTTTTTCTGAAATGATTTTCCACTGGAAAATTTTGAAATTTTCCTATAATAAGCTCCTCATTTTCGTCTTTCTCCTGCAAAAATATCACAATTTCCACTCTGCCAATTTTCCAGAAAATAATTGTAATATAAAAGAATGAATTTCGCTTAAAAAAGTCAGTTTTCCTAAATTTGTCCTAGAGTGTTTTTTCACTGGAAAATTTTGAAATTTTGTTATAATGAGATCCTCACTTTCCTCTTTTTTCTGAAAAAATTTCACAATTTTCCTTTTGCCAGTTTTCTAGAAAAAAACTAAAAAGAAAGAAAATTAATGTTACTTAAAAAAGGCAATTTTCCAGAATTTTTCCTGAAATGATTTTCCTATGGAAAATTTTGAAATTTTACTATAATAAGCTCCTCATTTTCGTCTTTCTCCTGCAAAAATATCACAGTTTTCACTCTGCCAATTTTCCAGAAAATAATTGTAATATAAAAGAATGAATTTCGCTTAAAAAAGTCAGTTTTCCTAAATTTGTCCTGGAGTGTTTTTTCACAGGAAAATTTTGAAATTTTGCTATAATAAGATCCTCACTTTCCTCTTTTTTCTGAAAAAAATTCACAATTTTCCTTTTGCCAGTTTTCTAGGAAATAAATGTAATTTAAGAAAATGAATTCTGCTTAAAAAAGTAAATTTTCCAGAATTTTTCCTGGGATGATTTTCCATTGGAAAAATTTGAAATTTTCCTATAATAAGCTCCTCACTTTCGTCTTTCACCTGAAAAAATTGCACAATTTTTACTTAGTCAGTTTTCCAGAAAAAAATTGAAAAACTTTGATATTTCTGTGAGAAACTCGAGTTCGAACTGCTATTATCGTCTAGCAATTTTTCAGCGATATTTTCAAGACAAAACCTTCAATTTTTTTCCCGCATATCGTGTTTTTTCACATCAGCGCGGTCACCGTTTTAAAGTTATTATTATACATATTTATATGGACATATGGCAACGCCGAGTAGCCATCAACTGGAACCACGTTGATTACGGCGAGCCTACCACTCCGATGGAGCCCGGCTCGAAAAGTCTGGCTCCATTTGGGGGGTCAAAAAATATACATGGAATAGGTTTTCTATAAGTGTTAACTATAATATTCTTTGGTAGAAGGCATAAAATTGCATGTGCAGCCGACTGCATGCCATTTTTAAAATTGCATTGCATCTAAAGTCTGTTTTTTTTTAAAGATAATTCCCCAAGTCAAAAATTTAGTAACTATGTTGGCAACACAAGCCTTTTCTACATAAAAAATTTGAAGCATTGACAATTTTACATTGTATTGCCAACATAATGTCAGTTTGACTTTTATCTTTAAAAAAAAAACATATTTTAGTGTAAACACCGTTTTAGTGTGTTTTTGCCTTATTTTTTGTGTCAAATTGGATATGTCAAATTTCTAATAAAAGGTGGTTATCATTCAACATTATTTCAGGTGATTAAATTGTTTTACGAGGGTATTTTCAAAGTTAAGCAATCTAGCAGAAGTTTAAAATGAAAGAAAATATTATTGTGTAGTATCAATCTATTAGTTGGAAAAAAGTTGTTTAGTTGATTCCGTGAGCCACTACCCTTTCCATAAGAAAAAATCAACTTTTACGCATTTGAAAATTTCAAATGGCTGTAGAAGTTGCATTTTCCAATAATAAAAATAAATAATAATTTTAACAGTTATTTGGGTACAAAACCTACTAATTAATGTCACTCATGACACGCTAGACGAAAAGTGCGAATTGGTAATTTCGGTTTCAGAAATGTCAAAAAATTATATCGATATACATTTTCATATTTAGAATCAAGTGGCGAATTCAAATATCTAAAAATATACTGGGTGTTCCATTTAAAATTTCAAAGTTGGGGTCGTTTCCGGTGAAACTGGAAGTATCAGAAAGGTACTTAATATGTGAAACAATGCACACCAATGACTTATACCTTCTACCAAAATATGCAATGAAAATCTTAAAAAATAAAAAAAATACAGGGACGAGCGTCATCTGAGAATCACCCGGACCCCTAAAAACTAAAATTTTCCTAAGGGAAGTGTCCCCCCTCTGAATGGGGGTAAGTTACAAAAAAAGTTTATTGGGAAAAATTGTAAGAAATGTAATCTCAGAAAACTTTTATGGAAATTTTTTTTGTGAAAAAATAAATAAACTTTGAACGACCCCTATTGAAAAACGGCAGGGGGTGAGTAAAAACTTCATAAAGCAAAAATGTTGTATGTATTGTAGAAAAATTTTTCATGTTGGTTAATTTTTTTCATTTTCATTATAAAATTTCAAACGGCCCTTATGACTACAGACGGCCCTTAATCAAAAAAGTCTTTAGATAAACATTGTAGATCAAATAATGTTGCACATCTTTTATTTGAAACATTTTTTTGTAAAATCAATAGGTACCAAGTAATCGCCAATGGCGCACTTTCAACCCCTATAGCGCAAAACGCCAGATACAGATCCAATGTTTGATATTTTCGATTTTATGATCACTCACCCGCCCCCTATCATCCCTGAAAAGTTCATTTGGGTAGAATTTTTTTTTTTTTGCAATACATGTATTTTTCGACTATTTTCCTAGACTAGTATAGTTATTAGTTTTATGTTTCAACAGTTAACGTTACTAAAAATATGGAATATGTTAATCTTATGGAGTCCTGGACTGTGTGAAATGTGAAATTTTTCCGGTTTGGTCCATTAAATTTTGAAAATTTGTTGTGATCACCCTGTATCCTATTGGAACAAAAATTCGTACATTAGGATTTTAGACCATTATAAACAAGAATCTGCTAACAGATTTTTTCTAAAAAAATTCCTAATAGTACTAATTGAAATTTGAGCCTATAAATGTGGACACCCTGTAAACCAGTGCAGCCGTAGAAATAAAATTATGAGCCTAATAAGTGCCATATTCGAGTAGCTACAAGACAAAAAAAAATTATTTGAATCGGTTGTAAAATAAAAATTTTAGAAGGGTGGTCAGTCCTTAAGCGGGACACACTGTATAGTTGAGATAATTCACCACTTCTGAATACCACTAATTATTGAGTCTAGTTCTCGATAATTGATTGATCTCTCTACTTCAATGATCGCCCCTTTTATACTATTATTTACCCTCCACAATCGACAATATGGGCGGTCGTTTGACCTTCTGTAAATTCAATGGGGTACTTGCATCAATTTTTTTTTATCGCTGATTTCGTTAGTCCATAAAAAATTAGTCAACACGTGTTTTTTCTTTTTCTTCTCAGTCAAAAATTGACGGAGATAGAACGCTATGAAATATGCCTATGACGTCACTTATCATATAAATTAATGACGTCGCACATGCTCAGTATATCTATACATATATACAAAACTTAATATTTGTAAAACTTCCAGAATAATCATATTTGGGCAAAATAAAAAAATACGTATCGATTTTTTTTCGATTCCCTACAGTTTGCAACAAACAATAATCAATTTAATTTTTCATGCAAGTACCCTTTGCTCATCGGATACTGTCGAAATTTGCATGATTATTAGGGGTCAACAAAATGGGAAAGAATGTAGAGGACACTTAATTCAAAGAAAAGTCGCACTCGTGCCGGCAATAAATTACGATGTTGTGAAATTTCTGTCATTTTGGAACCTAATTTTAATTAGGTACCTAACCTTGTATCTTTTCCGGGAGATTTATGAGTTCAACTAACTTGATGACACACGCCTGATGACTGACTATTAGAAATTGAACGTATTTTAAATATTTCAATTAATTTGGGGTGGGGTCAATGCTTTTTTTTTTCATTTTAAATTTATTGATATCTACTGATTTGAAATACTATGGAGATTCAATTTTTGATTATTAGATTACATTTAACTTCTACTGTTAAGACATTATAAATTACGGGTCTATTTTTCCCGGGTCATTGCATCTTTAGAAAATCAAATCTTCTTTTTTTTTCAGTGAATGCGTAGCTCTACAAGATCCCTACTGCGCCTGGGACAAAGTACAAGGCAAATGTCGTTCCAAAGGCATAGGCAGATGGGGTGAAGAAAGCTATTTCTTTCAAAGCGTAGCCACTGGCGAGCATGTAGCCTGCCCACCGCTGAAAAGCAAAGATGCTGGGTACGTTGGCGGTTTGAGCTCGAACCAACCTAAATTCAATGAACATATGCCCAACAAGGACCTTCCCGATGGACAAGTTATAAATATTATACAGGACAAACCCTACGAAAATACAGGTAAAAGATCTATAACCTAAATATAAGATAAATGCAATAATTAAAAAAAAAAAAAATGATTTATCCGGTACCTACTTCATGAAAATTCATTCCAAATTTTTAGAGGAAACAAAAAGGTTTTCTAAATTCCCTCAATTTTAAATATTTAAAGACGTAACATTTATCAACACACGGTGCTTTTTTCAATCTCCAGACAATCAGACGGAATAACTTGTCAATTAATTCCGTATGAAGAAGGTACCGTATACTTGAAACATGTTACCGCTCCAAATAATCAAAACTTGAAATTCAGAAGCTTTTTTGTATCAAAATTTGCAATAATTATACCTACCTTTCTGCTAGGGCCTTCTGTGACAGCTACAGATGCTCTTCCAAATCAATACTCAGTTGAAACTCTAATCATGGCTGTGGTAGCTGGTGCTGTTACTGCTCTAGTTGTAGGCTTCATTGCTGGCTATTTATGCGGCAGAAAATGTCATAAGGACGAAGACGACAATCTTCCTTATCCTGATACAGAGTATGAATACTTTGAGCAACGGCAGAATATGAACAGGTAAATCTCTTAAACAAACAAAGATAAATATTAATTATTCAATTAGTGTTCCGTTTTCCAGTCGGATTACTGCCGAGCCCAAACTTCTACCTCAGGAGGAAGTGACATACGCCGAACCAGTGCTAGTGCCACAGCCACCACCCAAAAACTATTCTCCTAAGAGTACCCTGAGGAAGGGGCCGCATCAAAACAATGCGGAAACATTGTTCCAGTTTCAAGCGGACGGCGGGTATAATGGCAGAGACAATTTTAGAGGCCGGGATAATTTTGGAACTTTAAGATCGCATCAGGTAAATATTGGTTTTTTCTAGATTACAGGAAAAATATTAGTGTGTACCTAGATGTTGTGAAAATAGAAATTAGATGCATTTAGGTTAGATCCCAGAGGTTTTTTCATGAGCAACCCAAGTAGCAAATTTGCGACTAATGACCTAAATATACATAGGTATATCAAATTGCGTCTAGGACTAGTGTCAAAGCCCATATACGAGTTTAATCAGCTATTTTTATTGAAACAATAATAATAAAAATAGATTAAAGAAAATTAAGTAAAAAAAAAAGAAAAAATATTTTTTCTACGAGCGTGAGGAAAAGTGCACTTTACCGCAAGCACTTTAGGTCATGAAAGTACCACTTTTCCGCACGGAGCTGCCATAGTTACTCTGCTTTTGAATGTTAGATTCCAATATTTGAGAGCTAACATCGCCTCACCTGCCATATATGCAAGGTTGTGCCTATGGTGAAAAATGTTGCTTGCGGCGTCTCCAAAAACATGAATTTCATCAAAATATCACGGGTAGCCAATTTCCATTTTAATATTGCGGGGTCCTACCACTAGTCAATATTTCTATTTCTCGAATTAAGGCAAAAGCAGGCCGTATGTATTATGATGGTCGTAACAATCGTTACATCTTTGTGATTTAGCGTCAGGTCGCAGGTGGTATAGTTTATACGAAGTGAATCCGAATAGCATAAAAACTTTGTAGACGGCATCTTCTTATGAAATTAAGCATATGCGTGCAACAACCTAGGAATTCCCAAGAACGAAGAATTCTAATTCTAATTCCTAGGCTGTTGCACGTATATGTTTAATTTCATTGGAAGATGCCGCCGTACACCGTTTTTATGCTATTCAGATTGACTTATCGTATAAACTATACGACGTTTATACAACAATAAATTGCTACTTGGAACTGAGAATCTCAAATTTGTTAGTTTTCTTGCTAACGTGCATCTAAATTCTAATTTTAGCCTAATAATGATGCGCAGGAAGCGATAACTTGGTCATTTGAGAAAACAGATTTGAAGTATGAAAATATACTACCAAGTAAATATTAATCTGACTAAAGTATTGCTGACTGCAATAGCTAAATCTAACCAACATGCTTCAACTAGAAAATTCAAAATTTTAATATTCTAACTAACAATTTTGGCTTATTTGACGCCGTTTTTTTTTTTTTTCTTACTCTGCCAGCAATGGGGCTATAGATACCCATAAACCGACAAAAGGTAAACCACCTACTATTTTAGGCAACTTCTACTGTTATTTATTATACTTTCTTCTTGTCTATTTTAGAAAATCTCTTGTTCATTCTTTCTTCCGAAAGTTATCGCATTACTTCCTAGATAAGTAGCGGCTTGAAACTTAGAGAGTGTCTCTGTATTATTGGAACATAAAAAACTTGAAATTTAGAAGTTTGAGTGCTTACCTGATCATTTATTTATGTCTACTTCTACTAACATTTTCGCGTGTCTATTACAGATAGAATGTTGTGTAATTATTTACTTACATTGTAGAAGGTAATATTTTGAGAAAGCATGTTGTATGACATTTCTGGGAACTAGCTATTGGGTAAAAACTTGAAACTTTACTCAATCACTTTTGTATATGACATGCAAAAAAGTGCTTTATAATTAAATGTGACTGCAAAAAAAAAAAACGTTCTAAGCATTTCCATCCAGTATATTTGTTTTGTTTAACTATTATAAAATTGTTACAATCAACTCACCTTGTTACGAATAAAATAAAGGATTTGTATACTTTCAGATAAAGATAACCTAGGGTCGTGAATTCAAAGAAAAATTAAATAAGATAACGTGTAGTCCCTTTATGTGCAAATGAAACCACTCAAAAATCCAACAAACAATAATTTTATTTAATTTTGTTTACAATGTTCTGTGTAATTTCAATGCCAACAACTTGGTTTTTCCTGGCGAATCTGATACCAAGTACCTGCTTTCCAATCCGGAGCTCTTCAAGGGGTGTTGGGGTTTCACTTTCGTGAACTGGAGCTTTTCGTATTGTTTCCTGTATCCAGGAAGAGGATAGATTGCTGGGGTGACGTCACTCCAGCTGATCCAGACTCCAAACAGTGATCTTTATGCAGAGTAGGTACTCAGAAAAGAATAAGGCAGTATCAGGTTCACCAATATTTGGAACATTAAATTCCTGAATTCTGTCAAAAAGTGAGTGTCTTGCAAAAGAAATTGAAGTTGAAATTTGGTATAAAATGATTGTTGTACAGACACTCCCTTCCAACAGAATCAGGTATGAAAAACTATTGCAAGTTAAAAAATTAATTTTAATATTAAAAAAAATAGTTATTTATACACCAAGTGAGTTAAATGAATGTTTATTCATGAGAAGAAAGTTTAACCCACGAGCCCTGGCGAGTGGGTTAAGTTTCTTCGAATGAATAAACATTTTAACTCACGTGATTTATACAAAATTTTATCCCATTTTGATAGACATTTGAAAAATAAGGTACTTAATAGGAATTAAATTATGAAAAGAATTCATTTAGTGGTTATGAAAGCGCTAATTATTGAAATTGGTGGTTGCTAGGGTATAACTAGTTGTTTGTTTGTATTTGTAGCAGATTTTTATACTAGCAGAGTGACTTAAAAGACCGAGAGTGAGTTAAAAATATTTTAAGTCACTCAGGTGATAAACTTCTACTTACCTTTGATATTATGCCTTCAATAATGTCGTTTTTAAACGTCAAAATGGGATAAATGAATTTTTATTCATGAGAAGAAAGTTTAATCCACGAGCCCTAGCGAGTGGGTTAATTTTCTTCGAATGAATAAACATTTTAACTCACATGATGTATACAAAATTTTATACCATTTTATGGAAATTTAAAAAATAAAGTACAAGGAAAAATGCTGAGAGTGAGTTAAAAATATTTTAAATCACTGAGGTGTCGGACTTTTAGTTGGGCAGAGTGACTTAAAATGCCTACAGTGATTTTTTTTAAATCACTGAGGTGATAAACGTCTACTTACCTTTATTGTTATGCGTTCAATAATGTCATTTTTAAACGTCAAAATGGGATAAAAACAATTAAATAATTAAGATTAATGGTAAGATAATAAAAAATAAAAGGTAATAACAAGATTAAATTAGAATGCTCGTTACAACTGAGCAAAATGCTGCTTCCTTGAAAACAGCTCTGGCAGGCAAAAATACAAGAAAAAATATGAGCAAAAATAAGGTAAGAAAAAAAAAATTAAGATATCAAATGTCTGGATTCCTCCCCAAATAGACAAAATTCTTACCTCGAATTAAGATAGTTACCACAGATAAGATTAGATAAACCTCGAGATAAACCTAGGGATGAAATTAATCAAATCCAGAATGTGTCAAAATTCTTGAGATGTTTTAACTAAAACTTTTTTTACTGAATTTTTGACCTGTCTGGATTTTTATTAAAAAATTACACCCTCTAGTTAAGATAATAATTTAGGGAGTCAAGCAAAAAATGTTTGTTCAGGCCTCTGCCTGGATTCAATAAAGAATTAATGGGGATGGACTCACAAATTTGGTTTTCACCGACTCTATTTAGAGCAAATGGTCCAATTTTCCCACACTAAAAATTGATTCTGAAAGCCAGAGCAGCAGTACCTATTTAAAACCAAAAAAAAAACTGTCTTGACTTACCAGTTATAACAAAACGTGGCACTAACCAATAAGCAAAGTAATTCACACAAAATGGAAGCCAACAATTAGATAAAAAAAATTTAAAATATAATATTTATATTTCAAAAACAGATAAGATAAGATTTATCAGGTAAAAACTTAATAAAGATAGGACAATTTGAATATTGAAAAATCTATAGGGGAGGATCGAGAAATTCAAATCACAAAATTAAATAAAAATAAATAGAGGACTTGCCTGGCCAGAGTGTTCTTCAAGAAGAGATCGTTTCAGAAAACCAAGCTAGCAGGAAAACGAACCTGTGTTTTTTATACTTACTGCATTCCAGCCAGTTTGAACCAATCAAACGAGTACACTCGAAAGACCATATTCACTTCAAAATGAAAACACAATGAAAAGACCGCATGGAATAAACGAAAATAGATAAAAATCCACTAAAACTATTTTAATTGTTTACAAATTATAATAATTTAAATTAAGGTTATGTCAAAGATAAAAGACTGTTAATTAATTGGATCATTAAGCCAAAAATGAATATTTAAAAATCAGAAGGTAAAAAAGGACAGAAATATATCCATTTGCTAAAAGTGAGATGAATATAATTTCTTTCAAAAAAATACAAATTACTGCCAAAATGCGAAATAAGAAATCATACTTTGAAATATAGATCAGATCGATCATCGCGCACTAGATGGCAGTACTAAAAAATCAATTCTTGATACTTGCACTTTACGCAAATGTAGATAGACGGCAGCACTTGTATTACTTGAATTTAAATTTGAATTTAATGGATATTTTTAGAATATTGGAAATTATTTTGAATTCTGAAATGAAAAAAATACAACTTTATAATGAAAATAAGAAGAGATGGAACATGTTACGTAAATGATAAATTTATCGAAACAACCTAACATATATTAGTATTTCTAAGCAGATAGGTTTCGCCCCAGGTTCGTCATTATTTTTAAAACTTGATTTTTCAAGTTCAAAAAACTAATTGGAAACAGTTCTGAAAAGTCATATAGGTACATACTGTTTGTTTCACGAGGGTTTGTACTTTTGCATTCCTTTTTTAACAAGTAAAAATTGACTGAAACAAATTAATGACGTCAAAAACGTTCGTCGGTTTTTAAACCAGAAGTCATTCAATACAATACAAAATCTGAACGCTATTAAATTTATATGAATCAATCTACGACAAAACTTTTTTTCCAAGTTATGACATTATCGATGTCATAAGTAAGGGGTCTTTGAAAAAAAAAACAATCAAAGATTGCTATGGTTTTTTAAACGTATATCTTAGCAATATTTTTCTTTAATTCTGTCAATGAACTTTATTGTCAAAATGT